ACACACACACACACACACACACACACACACACACACACACACACACACACACACACACACACACACACACAGTCTAACTGTAATGTACTTTAAAGTATTTATAAACCAACCAAAGGCCTGTTGTCAAATTATTTTGTGATTTTAACACACATGTACGTGCTATTATTATTTTATCATTAAAAATATTCATAATCAACTTAATATTTAAACTCAACAAGTCGTTTAACAAGCACATGTGTTAAATTATGTAGTTTCAGCTTCTCAATTGTGTTTTGTCTAATATTTGGTATATTTCACTGTCCAGGATAAATTCAGTGGTTTTTGATCAAATGATAATCAAAAAATAATTTAAGCAAATTAAACTATGATGGAAATTATCTTTAGCTACAACCCGTATTTTTTTGTAGAAGAAAAACTATTTTAAATGAATGTTTTTATTTTTTTAAATAAACAAGTTGGTTTAGTAAGTTACAGCAGAGATTTGAACTGATTTTATCTCATATAACCAAATTGCAGCATGTTGCAGCTGAACACCCCTCACATCACCCTCTCCTTCCAAACATGAAAAAGAACCTGTGGTAGCTTCAGTTGTCATAAAAACTCAAAAGGTGTTTAGTTTGTCCAGTCTGGACAAATGAAACAAACATGGCGGCCGTCTGTAGAGAGGGTCCCCTCGATGTATTCAAATATAAAAGAAAACTACAATTCATACAATTTAGATGAAACGAACTATTGAAAAACATCGTGAGAATTATACTACGTTAAATTTCTGCCAATAGTTCCCTTTCACCTAAATCTTACACACTGAACCTTTAAGACACTTTGAGTAAAAACTTTAAATGAAAATCAAATAAATTTGTTATTTTCAACGAAACAACTCAGATTAGCAAAAAACGCCTTTCAGAGTTTGAGGTCACGTGATGATGACAAAGAGGAAGAAGTCAGTTTAATCAGCTCATGATTTATTTACTGACATGACTGGAGCCTGTGGACGCGCAGGATAAAGAGGGAGACAAAAGAAAAACTGTGAGAGAAAGCATCAAACCACTGCTGCTTCTCATGCACCAGCAGAGGAGAAAGAAACAGCCAAGTCAGGGTGTGTGTGTGTGTGTGTGTGTGTGTGTGTGTGTGTGTGTTGCCTTATATCTGTGTTGTCCCCGCCTCACATGTGACAGCTTGCAGCCGAGATGGGACCCCATGGGATCGGGGAGCGGATTCACTAACCTGCCGGTGTCTGAGAGACCGACGCGCGCCTCCAATCTGGTGGTCACATGGGGTGGAGGGAGGAAAAAGGGATGGAGGGAGTAGGGGGGTGTCGCTGATGATGAGAGGGGGGTTAGTTAGATTATTAGGGGCTGTCGAGGCCGTCGTGCGGGGCAAACTGTGGAGTTGAAAGTGCACGCAGTGGCATTTCACGCATGTTAAGGTGGAGAAAGAAGTGCGCACAATGGCAAATCACGCGCCTTGAAGTTTTGCGTCACGCTGCTCAGACGGTTGTAAATAATTACCGGGGACCATTAACGGTGTTATTGTGCCTTAAATGGAAATTTGTCCACATTGGACTTTACTACATTTTATTTTTTCTTAAATCATCTACTTTTTTTTTTTAGATTTCTGTTCGAAAAGCTGAATTAATAACTAATATTTACAAGTGGATATATGTGTGAGTTTGTGGATTTTAAAGTTAAGATTTTTGTCTCAAGTTGAGCAAATGTAAATGTTTAAATGTTTAAAATAGATAGAAATAAAAATGTTGAAGTGAAAATGCCACAAATGTCGAAAATAATTCAGAAACAAAGCGAGTGACAAATACGATTTACTCTACTATTAAAACGCCAAATAATAACAATAAAAAACTACAGAAACAATAACAGTAATAATACAATTATTAAATCTCGATGCATTTCTCACATCCACAAATTTAACAATAATAAAAGACAATCAGATGAAGTAAAAAAAAACTGAACTTAAGCTAAAACGTGTGATAAGAATAATAAAATGTAAAAGGCAGTGGAAGAGAGAGTATACAAGCTGTGGAGGTGCAGGGAAGGAATCAAGTCTTAGAAAAGGGAGTCGAGAAGAAAAACGCCGGAGCCGCTGCACATAATAACCCCATTATAAGCCTCATCAATGATGTAATGAAAGCAAACAGTGTGAAAATTGCCTGTAAACAGTTGGATCTGAGTCTCCTGATGAATTCAGTGTCTCTTTTATCAAAGTGGAGGATGAGCCAGGCAGGAGAGAGGAGGGGTGAGGCAGGGAGAGAGAAGGGAGGGAGGGAGGGAGGGTGGGTGGGTGAGGGAGTGGGCGTGTAGGGAGGTCCACTTCCAGCTCCCCCTCAGCCAATGAAGGCTTGTCACAGGGGACTCACGTGGACGAGGCGCTCTTAAAACCTAGCTCCTGACTTTTTCCTCAAGTTCAATTTTTTGGGATTCCCTCCCACCCCATCGCACCTCGTCCCTTTTACTTGCCAGTTGTGACTGTTTAACCCACTTTACCTCCTTTTTCTGCGGCGCGCAACGCATCCTCCTCTTCTTCTTCTCCTTCCTCCTCGTCAGCTGCAGCTCCCGGACTCTTCTCTCCTCCGCTCACTCTCTCTCTCTCTCTATCTATCTATCTGCATCCTGGTTTGTTTCTTCCTTTAAAGGTTTCTTCTTCTGGTTGTTCTTTAAAGAACGTGAACAGTTTTCCAGTGAGGACACATCACGACGAGCCTCCTCCGCAGCCTCCTGTACCTGTCCATGGTGCTGAGCGCGCATCGGCTGCTCCAACCTCCCCAGAAAAACGCTCCTTCCTCCTGCGTCTGTTTCTCCTGCTCTGCGCGGAGACGTGGGTTTTCGGCTGCAGCCGTCTGAGGTTCGTGAATTCAAATCAGACGGAGTTGATCCTGAAGGAGGCAAAGAATCGATTGTGACTCCAGCATCGATTTCAGGAGGACTCGTCTTTATTTTTTGAAGACTTCACAAAAAAGCAGAAAATCGGACGCATGGTCGATTTCGGTAACGCAACTTAGACTGGAGATATTTTCTCTGTGAAGGAACTGGACATAGCGGATGAATCCATTTGAATTGTAGTGTGTTGTAAGATATTTTCCTTGGTGCTGGGAGGGGGAGTGCTTCTCCTCTGCTGGATCAACTGAGACTAAAACAACCACTACCCCTCCTCCTAAAATAAAACTTGTCCTGAATACCAAATGGTAGTTTGAGGAGGCCGCGATCGAGACAATGGAGTCGTCCGCCAACGGGTCCAGTTTTGGGATCGACTCGCTGCTGTCCCACAGGCCGGGAAGCCCGGTGTCCAAAGGGGACAGCCTGGTCGGGGAGTGCCGATCGCCCCTGGAGTTCAGCCCGAGGTCGGACGTGGAGAGCGGCTGCTCGTCGCCTCCGTCGCCGAGGAGGGAGTGCGTGGACGAGGTGGCCCAGAGGCAAGGTCACGGAGTGGGCCTGCCGCCGCACCTGCAGCACGCACAGATCTCTGCGGGGTCGCAGCAGAGGACCGTGACCTCGTCGTTCCTCATCAGAGACATTCTCGCGGACTGTAAGCCTCTGGCCGCCTGCGCGCCCTACTCCAGCAATGGGCAGCCGACCCAGGAGACGGGGAGGCTGGCCTCGAAGATAGCGGACGACTTTATGGAGAAAATCCACAGCAACTCGTCGTCAGACAGCGAATATAAAGGTAAGGACAGAAAAAGTAAAGAAACAGTGAAGGAGCTGCTCTGAGGAGCTTAGAGGTGAAATGATTTGGCCTTTTGGTTTTTAAACTGGACCCATGTAGAAAAATACTTTTTTTTAAAATCACATATAAGTTGAGACTTCTCTCTATTTTATATTTGTATCTCTACATTTGTATCTGCTGCACATCTTCTGTTTGTTTCGTCTTTAAATATATTTCTAATTTTGCAAAACTACCGATTAAAAATATATACAAGACAGAATAAAATAAAATTTAAAAAAGGGCCTAATTTTAAATTGGATGTGCAATCAGAAAACTAGGAGTTGGACATGAAGTCTGATGAAACACAAACTGCCAAACACAAAATAAATCAGAATCTATTTTATAAATACACGTGTGCGTAAATATAATTGTAGCTTGACAGGTAATGATGAAAATAAAAAAAGATATAAATATAAATTAATTGTTTTAAAAAGTGTAGCTCCCTGCTGGTGTTTTAGACATTTTGATGTAATTTTCACCAGAAAAAAAAATCTAAAAATTATAATTAACAACTCATTTTTTTAAAATAAATTATGAAAAGCGTGAAACACAATAACACCAGATATTTCCTCAATAAATAGACAACACTGGGCAGCAGGCACCCGGAAACCAGCAATCAACCAAAAATCTCCCCGCTCCCCTGCTGCACCACGGTATCGAAAAACAAGCGACCTCTCCCTGCACGATAACTAATGAGTTTCTTATTATAATTAACAGTTATTAATGAAGTGATTGCATTTAAAACTAACGCAGTTTTCGCAGCAGCAGCAGAAACGCCAGAGAGCATCTGTTGATGTCAGGGAGGAGAGAGGGAGATGACAGGGTCGCCTCCAGATAAATACCATCAAGGGCCTCTCTGTTTCCAATCATGTCAGCCATAACACACATGTCTCCTCCATTGACAGTTTAATGAAGCGCTGCCTGGAAACAAGACGAACGCTGTGGGCTACAATGGAAAATACTGAGTAAAAGTTAAATCACATTTAACAGCAATATGTTTTAAAAAAAATAGGATGTGAAATGTCCCATATAATTTCATAATAATAATAATATTATTCGGTGTCTTTTATTGGTATTTCAATTTTCTCGTCAGTTATCGATACGACCCCTCGTCATCAATTTCCTCAAGCAATTCCGTGCGTGTGCGTCCGCGCGCTCCCGTGCGTCAAGGCGCGGATGGAGATGCTCATCGACGCGCTGATTGATGGAAGGAGCCGCGGGGCCCCACGGAGCCTCTGTACGGTGGCTTTGATTTCCACGAATCCGCCTCCGATAATATTTCGGGGATTTGATGCAATTTGTCCCCGGCGCTAATCAGATTTGTAAGCGCGCACGCACGCACACACGAACCGCGGTTCCCACTCATTTCCACGGTCCTGTGAAGTTCCTGCGGTCGCGGTTGAAAGGCTCGTCCTTCCCTTGTGGCTCAATTAGGCGGATTATTGTGCTGCTCGGGACGACTCAACTATTCAACTACCAGGATCTCTCGCCTCGCTCGTTCCTCTCGTCCTCCCCTCTCTCCCCCCTTCTCTCCACTTTCTTTTTTTTTATTATTCTGAGAGAATTGAAGGAGTGTATATATCAATGCTCGCCCCTGACATGACAACACGCGGGGTAAAGAACAAAGAGTGACGGGAGGAAATATCAGATTGGAAGTGTGAATATTGGAAGAGCTTTTCATAACAATTTAAGAGCAAATCAAATAGCTGCACATCGCCTATAGGCACCGTCTCCACCGCACTGATTCACACTCTGCACATATTCACCTCTCCTCTAAAGCCACATGCTGATAAAAATATAATATATCTACTATTCTAAAGTTTAACTGTTAAAATATTTTTGTATCATGAAACGAAATGTGCACTGGTAAAAAGTTTCAAATCTTTGAAATCGAAATCAAACTATAAAATGAACTCATTTTGAAGTACTTTCCAAAAACAAATTATGCAACATATAGAGTTCTATTATATATTTGGGGAGAGGCATTATTTCTAAATTTGACCCTTTTATAGCTCGTGTTACACAAGACATGCTGATCCAAGTGTTTTCTTAAATCTTTAGTTAACTACAGTTCATTTCATATTTTACTTCTTCCTCTTTATTAAAGTGAGCTGCTTCCTTCAGATGAGAAGCTTCATGACTGTTTTGAATCCAGGTTACATTGACAGGTGTATTTAAAGGTTATGATGCTGCAGCTGCACTGATTTATTTCTGCGGTTGTGTGTGGAGGTGACACTTCCACACAAAGGTTATTCTGGGGCCTTAATGTGTCTAACTCCTGCTCCTTTTATATATTTTTTTTGGTCATTTTCTTCGGCTCGGTTCCTCCAGTGAAAGAGGAGGGGGACAGGGAGATCTCCAGCAGCAGAGACAGCCCTCAGGTGCGGCTGAAGAAGCCCAGGAAGGCCCGCACGGCCTTCACCGACCACCAGCTGGCGCAGCTGGAGCGCAGCTTCGAGCGGCAGAAGTACCTGAGCGTCCAGGACCGCATGGAGCTGGCGGCCTCCCTCAACCTCACCGACACACAGGTCAAGACCTGGTACCAGAACCGGAGGTAAAGACCCCGCTGCAGGTCCTCCAGGGGGGGGGGGGGGGGGGGGGGGGGGGAAAAAGAGGGTCGCAGGCAGATGGGCACGGAGGCAGCAGACAGGTAAACCTGGAGGCAGCTGAGGAAGGAGCAGGGCGGGGCCTATGAGCGGAGAATAGGGGGGGGGGGGGGGAGGAGGGGGGAGGGTAAACTGGGGACGCCATGTTTCCATGTCACCGTCGCTCTAAAGGTGGATTAAGTTCACTGAGGCTGCAGATGAGTCACCGCCACAAACCAACATTCATTAGTAATTAATCTGCCGTTTGTTCTCGGTTAAATCGATCAATCATTCGGGCCATAAGAAAGGTCACATCAGTTTCCAATGTAGTGCAACACCTATTGTTTTCATTTTGATTCATTGAATGTATAAATATATTTTCTGGTTAATCATCAGGCAACTGATGAATCAATTAACTGTTTGATTTTTCATTGAAATAAACGCATCAAGTACATTTACAGCAGCTATTGGTGATTGACAGCTGATTAATTGATCTGATATCTTAGAAATATTGGAAACGCCCACAAGGGATGAGTGTTTGTATTTCCTTAAGAAAACTTTATTTATATGATTTCTTTTTATTTATAAAGACAAATCAAATCCTACAGGGATTTTTTTTTCCAATTTGTTTGTCAGTCCAGAGTTTATTTCTTCCATTTTCCTGCAACATTACTTTTATTTTAAAGACTTACCAGATTAAAGTTATATGTTTCTACGATTAGCCTGCAAGCCGAGGTGTCAACTGTTTTCCAGTTGTAAATAAATAAACCTCCATGCACCAGAAAGAGAAACCGTCCTCGTCTGTGTTAAAACATGTTTTCTGCAGTTTTCACTTGAATTAGCTTCAGCATTTATTCGTCTGCAGCTTCGACTCTCGAGCAGCTAAATGACATAAATAAATATAAAAACAACACTTTGGAGAATGAATAATGCATGGTTGCATGTGTGCATATCAATAATTCAAACAAACCACTATATCTACTCAATTATCTTTATTATGAATTATTCACCTGCATGGAGTGCATACTGGCAATCTAGCAGAGAAGCTTGGGTGTGAATACAAGTGGCAGGTTGGAGATTTGGGTGATTCAAGAAAAAACAGATGTAGTCCTGACTTGTAATTGGACCCCAGGTAAACAGATGGGAGTTGTTTTTAGTGAAGATAATTCAGATTTATAGATAAATATGGATGTTCTTACCTCTCTTCCAGGACAAAGTGGAAGAGGCAGACAGCGGTGGGACTCGAGCTGTTGGCGGAGGCTGGAAACTACTCCGCCCTGCAGAGGATGTTCCCGTCCCCGTACTTCTACCCGCAGAGCCTGGTGTCCAACCTGGACCCCGGGGCGGCCCTCTACCTGTACAGGGGCCCCACGGCGCCGCCGCCGGCCCTGCAGAGACCCCTGGTGCCACGGATCCTGCTGCACGGCCTGCAGGGAGGCAGCGAGCCGCCGCCTCCGCCTCCTCTGCCCCCCATGTCCGGCGTGCTTTCCCGGCCAACTCAGCAGCGGTGAGCCGGCCCCTGAGCACGAGCTCTGCCTTGGTTCTCGGCAGCTTGGGACTCACGAGAAGAAATAAAAACAAAGACACGAAAAGATTTACACAAGACGAGAAAAAGAAAAACTGATCAACCTTTATAAAGGGACAGAAAAGGCTGAACCCTGTGGACGGAGCATCGGGACTGAAACTCAAACCGGCCACGAGGGAGGACTCTTTTCTCTCGGTTCTCTGTTTTGCATTTTATTTATAACTTATTTATTTTTCATGATGAATCAAAGTATCTAAGTTATGTATTTATTTCAACTTTCAGTATTGTCTATGGTGTTTTTCCCAACAGATGAAATGTTGGTGGCA